TGCCCCAGTAGACGGCTCGATCTCGGAGCCAGGCTAACGACTCATAGTATTTCGTACCATCCGAAATGAAACCTGCTGTAGCCTTCCCAGTCGAAGAAGCCTGTTCCGCGAGGACGCTTTGTTTCCAGATGGCAACCCCCGAACTAGTTCCATTCCCGAAAGACCAGTAAGGCCGTTGGGCCCGCTCCAAGAACTCATCAGCGTGGCCCCGTCGGAGCCTCTCCCACAGGCGCACGGGCGACCCCAGGAGCAGGATGGGCCGTAAACCTCCCTTCGGCTTCTCCAAGAGGGGCATCAGCATCCACAGCAGTTGGGGCGGACAAAATTCCTATCCGTTCCACAGCCTCAAAGAGTGGCGCCAGGACCTCCAGCCCCATGTCGCTGAGGCAGGCACAGTGACGCGGGTGGAAGCCGTCCAGCGACTGGGAGGTGTGCCTGCTGAAGGACTTCGCCGCGGCGCGGAGCTCCATCGGTGTAGCTCGCGGGAAGCATTCACGATTTGGGACCCGCGCTGTTGGCGGACTTAGACTAGCATTCCCGTACTCACCTAACTTTACCGTCTCGTCCATGAGGAGGCTATTCGGGTCCGAAGTGAATATACCAGGGGAGCTTTGCACAACCGTGGGGGCCCAAACCTTCTGAGCTCTGGTGACCCTGTGCATGAGCCTTGCGGAGCCTTGTAGAGCTTGAGTGGTCCAGGTGTCCCAAGATTCCCTTGCAACCCGCTCTCCTTCAGCTACAGCCTCATCAAAATCAGCTTGAATATCTTGCAGGAATGGTTGTGAACGCTCACACCATGACTGCTGGGCCGAGGGGTCGGGGCGCCAGAGGAGAGCAATCTCACGCATGACGCGCAAGGAAGCATCAAGCCTGGCACACTGACCTTCTCCCGCACAGCCGTGCTGCAAGGCTACCTGGAGGTGTAGGCACGTGCGCTCATCTAACTCGTCCGACTGGGCCGCCGTAAAAAAAGATTTTTTTTTTTTTTTTTTTTAAAAACAACTCAGTGAACGCGTTAAACAGCCACTTCCAACCTGCGATGACCTGGAGCCTAGCATCTGGGTCCTTCGGCCGATAGAAAACTGAAGCCCCAGATGCCTTGATCGTCCTGCTCCTCTCTCCTAGTTCCCGTGGTTCAATTCCCAGAACACTGCATAGCTCCACTTCGGCAACGTCAACGAAGTGGCCCCAAGCCTTCGACAGCACTCTCCAAGCGTGGCAGGCCGAGGAGAGAGAAGCGTGAGCAATAGCTTGAGCAGCGTGTGCTAGTGCATGTCGTTATTCTGCAGGACGGGGTGTGGGACCATACGGAGGATCATGAGGAAGCTTCTGATGAGATCGATCGATGAGCTGCCTGAGGGACAGGGCCTCTGCCTTGATCTTCAAACGTACTGGGCGGTGCGGCTTGACCTCCCACTTGGTGTCGACTGCGACGCCGTCAATCAGTCTGGCCATCCCAGGGCCCAGCAGGAAAAATCGATGGTGCTGCTGGAGGCTGGAGACCTCCACGTGGGCATCGTCGGGGCGACGATCACCATTCCTAATCGACGGGGAAAACCAGCCTCTCAAGAACTTGTGGCGATAGATTCCAATCCCCTCCGATGATGGCGTTCTCCGAGTCCAAGACTGACCTTCCAAGAGCCTTCAGGATGTTGAGGTTGGCCTCACTGAGGCCTTCCGCCGAACGAAGGTCAACCGAGTAGGGCGATACCGTGGGCCATCCAGGGAAATCCAGGAGAACCTTGATAGCACGATGGGCCACGATGCAACCATCACCTCCCCTTTCAGTGGGCCACCTGAGTCCCACCGCCAACCGAGCGAATACGCCACTCCACTAGATAACTTTCCAGTCTCAGGGTTGAGTCGAGCAGGGGGAAGGAGAGCGTGCCAGCCGAGACCACGGGCCGCGCTGGTGGCCTGCCCTAGAAAATCGTCACTGATGCCCAGCTCCTGGGCACAGAGTACCACTGCATCCGTCTCAGCGAGACGGCGTCGAAGTGTCTTCCAGCACGAACCGTTGAAAGACTCAATATAAAAAGAACTATTCTGCACACTCTTGGGGCCCCCTCTCAGGGCTGGCACTGGCCGACCTGATGTAGAGAGCGGGATCTCCGAAAGCAGAGGACCAGTGATGCCGAACATAGTGTCACCCACACTTTTGTTTCTTGGCCTTGACCCCCATTGTGCGCAGAAGTGCTCTAAACTCCTCTGAATGCTCCTCGCCATCCTTCCTAGCGACTGCCAGAAGCTTCGAGATGTCCTCAGAATCGAGATCGTCCAGGTCGACGTCCATTTCATCATCCCCTGGAACTGGAATAGAGTCACCCCCTGGTTCTTGCTTTGGAGCACCTGGGCCCCCAGGGGTACCTTCAGCAGGAGTGGGGGTTGAGGGAGGTGTGTTGGCCTTGACCTGTGCCGCCTGTGCCGCCAGCAGCTCCTGGTACTCGGCGAACGACGGTGAGGCCACCAACTGCTGCACCTCGGGCGGCGCATGCTCGAGCGCCTCGGGCGACAGCTGCGTGCAGGGCGCGGTCTCCTGGGACGGGGCCACCTGCTGCAACGTGCTGCGGAGCTCCACCTGGAACGCTGCGATCTCGACCTTGACCGCCTGGATCTTGTCGCGAGCCTGCGCCAAAGCCTCCTGAGCGTCCTTGATGGCCTGAAGATGTTCAGCAGCTTCTTCTTCAAGCTTGGCCAGCTGCTGCTGGCGCTTGGCCAACTTGTGGCCAAGGGTGGTGTGCCTCGTGACTGCAGGCTTGCGCTCCGTGATCGACTTGCGCACAGCAGCCAGCTCGGACTCCATCTGGGCCTGGGTGGCCGAGGAGCCCAGCTCAGGGCACTTCTTGATGATGGCGAGCGCCTCCTCCGTGGCGTCAGCCTTGGCGCGAAGAGCGACGAGCTCCGTGCCCACCACACCATCACCTTCTTCAGCATCGGGCTTGGGATCAGGCTTGCGGGCAGCACCAGTGCCTGCGCCCCCTGCGCGCGCACTTCCCGCATTGGCTCCTGCGCCCTTGGTGAGCTGCTCGACCTGTTCGCCAGGTTGGCCAGCTGCTGCTCGATCTTGGATGAGTTCCCACCTGCCTTGACTGCCGGTGGACCACGCGCCCATGCACCGCGAGGACCAGAATGACGAGGCCCATCTGCAGGGCTGGACTTCTTGGCGTTCTCCTTGGCGCGGTGGATGACTGACTGGGGTGCTGCCTTGCCGCAGACGCAGCGGACACGGCATGCCCAGTTCTGGTTGCGCCCGCAGTGGGGGCAGCCCCAGCAGGGCTGCCTCGGACCAGGGAGCACCGCCTCATCGTCCTTGGCCATGGGACCCGCCGATGAGGCGTCGTGGATAGCTGGAGGGAAAAGGTCCCTCGACCTGCGTACCGAGCCAGAAAGACCCGCCACGGCGACTGCCACTTCGAAGACGGCCGTTGCAAACCCAGAACTTCCTGGGCCGAAATGGCTATCTTGAGCCAAAATGGCTACGGAAGAGGCCTGGGAGGCCGGGGAGGAGGAGGAGGAGGAGGAGGAGGAGGAGGAGGAGGAGGAGGAGGAGGAGGAGGGAGGAGGGGGAGGAAAGGAGGGAGAAGGAGGAGGAGGAGGAGGAGGAGGAGGAGGAGGCGGAGGAGGAGGAGGAGCAGGAGGAGGAGGAGGAGGAGAGGAGGAGGAGGAGGAGGAGGAGGAGGAGGAGGAGGAGGAGGAGGAGGAGGAGGAGGAGGAGGAGTGGAGGAGGAGGAGGAGGAGGAGGAGAGGAGGAGGAGGGGAGGAGGAGGAGGAGGGGGAGGGGGAGGGGAGGGGAGGGAGGAGGGGAGGGGGAGCGGAATGAGTGGGTGGGAGAGGGGGAGGGGGAGGAGGAGGAGGGAGGGGGGGAGGGAGGAGGGAGGGAGGAGGAGGAGGAGGAGGAGGCGTGCCTGCGGGTCGCACGTGCTTTCGCGGGACGGTCTCGGGCGAGCGTCGTTTTCTTTTTGCACGGATGAGGCGACACGGCAGGCATGGGTTCATGTTGTGCCCGTTTTGTTGCCCCCCCCCCGCAAGGGGCAGGGCACGCGGCGGCAGCCACTCCACGTGCGAGGGGGCAACTGCTCCACGCGCCCCGAGTCTGGGGCTCCCACTGCTGGGGTCTTCGCCTCCACCCTTTCCTGCCTTAGACGTTGGCTCCAGCGTGCTGACTGGGCGAAGAGTGGAGTCGATTTGGGGAGGGGGAGAAGAAGGAGGAGGAGGAGGAGGAGGAGGAGGAGGAGGAGGAGGAGGAGGAGGGGCGAGTCACTGGCGGGACGGTGCCGTCCGCGCCTGCGGGCCGCCTCAGAAGAGGCCCATGAAGTGGCCGAAGGAGTCGGCCCAGTGCGCACAGCTCAGGACAACTGCGTACCACCTGCTCCCGCGGCCAGTGAACCCCACCCCGGTCCCCGGGGCCATCAGCGCAACGAAGTCGCGCATGCGGTCCTCGTCGCCGCCGCAGCGGCGGAGGAGGAAGTCGGAGGCGGCCTCCATGGAGCTGGCGGCCATGAGCTCCTCGAGCAGGCAGCCGACTCCGCCAGGAGCAGCAGCAGGCGCCGCAGGGCCGAGGGGCCAGGACGCCTCGGCGCTCCCCGCCTCACCGCCGAGCGAAGCTCCAGGCGACTCACGACTGGGGGGCGCCCCAGCGGCGGCGCCAGGCAGCGCAGCAGGCGCTGCGGCCGAGGGCGCAGGGCGCGATACCACCGTGTCCGCCCAGGCGTCGTCCTCTTGGTCGCTGCCGCCGTCCACCCCCAGACCACCGCCGCTAGCTGCACCAGCAGCGTTGTCGAGAACTGAGCACCATGGGCCCGTCCTGCGCTCCGCGAGCTCGGCGGCGCCAAGCGCGACGTCGCCTCCGCCGTGGCCCCTGACCACCAGGCGGGGCGTCCGCCTCTGGAGCGCGAGGTGGCACGCCCGGGCCTCCGTCACCGCCATCACCATCACGATCTGCAGCCGCGGCACGTGCAGCCCGAAACTCGGCCTCAAACATCGCCGCCGCGGCACGCACGATGCCCTCCGCGGAGCGCAGCAGCCGAGCCGCCGCCGCACCCCGCGCCAGGCCAGCAGCGTCATGCACCGCCAGCGCGGCCCCGCGGGCCGCAGCCAGCGCTGCGCGGCGATCCGTCGCCGCCGCCAGCGGAGGCCCGCCGCGTGCCAGGGGGCCCAGCGGCGGCGAGCTCGACGCGGACACGGTTGAAGGAGGAGGATTAGGAGGAAGAGGAGGAGAAGGAGGAGGAGGAGGTGGAGGAGGAAGAAGCAGGAGGAGGAGGAGGGAGGAGGAGGAGGAGTAGGAGGAGGAGGGAGGAGGAGGAGGAGGAGGAGGAGGAGGAAGAAGAGAGGAGGAGGAGGAGGAGGAGGAGGAGGAGGGAGGAGGGGGAGGAGGAGGAGGAGAACGAGGAGGAGGAGGAAGAGGAGGAGGAGGATGAGGATGAGGAGGAGGAGGAGGAGGAGGAGGAGAAGAAGGAGTAGGAGAGGAGGAGGAGGAGGAGGAGGAGGGGGAGGAGGAGGAGGAGAAGGGGAAGAGGGGATAGGAGGGGTGGGTGGGTACCTCTCGCCTTCCTCCTCTGACCCCCCCCCCTTCGCCCACCGCTCCCACCCTTTACGTCCCGCCTTCCAGTGCTGCTCCGCTCCCCCCTTCCCCCCTCTCCCCTTCCCTCTCTCGTACTGATTTCGCCTCTCCCACCCCCGTCGCACCTCGTGTTCCCTAACTGCCCTCCCATCCCTCCCTGCCCCCTTTCCCCTCCCTCTCCTGTTCTCTACCTGCCCCCCTTCCGCTCCTTCCCTTTTCGCTTCCCCTCTCCCGCCCCCGCCCCCCTCCCATGTCCACCTCACGTAGCCCGTTCCTCACCCGTCACGCCCCAATCCTCGATCCTCACTCTTCCCCTCCTTCCTCGATCCTCAATCCTCGATCCTCGATCCTCGATCCTCACTCGTCCCCTCCTTCCCTTCCGCACATCCTCCCAAGCCCTGAGCGTTGTTCTGAGCCCCTGAGGACCAGCGTGAGCGGGTCGTGAGCGAGGGCTACGTCAAAGAGGCCACGGCCAAGACAGTCGAGATCGAGGCGAGGGGGGGCAGCGGGAAGATCTTCGTCCCCCCCCCCGCGCTTTCATCCCTTATTCCCCTTCCTCCGCCTCGCAGTCGGTTCTCGTTCTCGTCGTCGTCCTGCCTTCCTCTTCCTCCTCATTCTCCCCTTCCTCCTCCTCCTCCTCCTCCTCCTCCTCCTCCTCGTCCTCCTTATTATCCTCCACTTTCCCCTCCTCCTCCCAGTTCTCCGTTTCTGCCTCCGTATCGTCAAGATACTCCTCGTCGTCCTCCTCATCCTCCTGCTCCTTCTACTTGATCCCCCCTCCCTGCTCCTGTCCCGCCTCCACCTCTCGTCATCCATCATCTCCCTTCTCCTCCCATGGGTCATGTGTTCAACCATCCTCGCTGCGCGCTGCTTTACATCATCGCTCTGATCATCCGTCTCTCTCCTCCTCCGTCTCCTTCTCTCCCGCCTCTTTGTCCTCCTCCTCTTTTGCTCGGCTTCTTCCCTCCTCCCCGCTCGTGTGTCCTTCCTCTCTCCGTCCTCGTGCCTTCGCCGCCCCCTACTTATACGTGCCATCCCTCTTCCATCCCCCTCCTCGCTGCTCCCATCTCCCGCCTCTGTCCTCCCCGTTCTTTGCCCGAGTGCGTGTGCTACGACGCCTTGAGTATAAACCTGCCTCCGCGGGTTCAACTGTAGCACCGCGTTCGCATGCGCTCGTTTGTGCTAGGTATGTTTGATATGTAATTGGTGGCGGTACCCGCTGCCGCCGCATCAACAGCATACTTCCATGGCGTCTCAACCAATCCGCATGTCAGTGTGCCAGGTGTTGTCCCTCCTCCTGGACTCCCTCTCTCACTTATCCTCTGCATCCTCCTCCTCATCGTCCGCCCAGTTCCCTTGCACTCCTTCATCCTGATCATACCCCCGTCTCCTCATCTGCCTCTTCTACCTTTTAGTTCCATCATTGCTGCTCCCTCCTCCCTCCTCCCATTCTCCTCCCTTTACCCGTCATTCCCCCCCCTCCACGTTTCATTCCTTCCTCCTCAGTTCGTCATCCTCCCGTCTGCATCCTGCATCTTCCCCTTGTCTCCTCTTCATCCTCCCCATCATTATGTGTTCTCCCTCCCTCCCCCTGGCCTCATGCCGTCCAGCTCCATCCCCTCCCTCTCGCTCCTCCTCCCTCCTCGTTCCTCCCCCTTCCTCAGCTTCATATCTGTCTGCTCATCATCCTCTTCCAGCTGCTCCATTTCCTCCTCCTCCTTCTTTTCTTCCTCTCCCTCGCTGTCGTCGCCTAACCCTTCCCCCCCCGAGGCTGGCATAGACAAGGTTAACGCGGCAGAACTCCCCTTTTTGAAGGGGCTCGAGGTGTTGCCCTTGAAGGAGGCCCAGGATACCATCACAGAGTCAGAGAAGGTGACATGCGACGATGGTGACGACGCTGGCGGCGATGGTGACGATGGCAACGGTGATGCGATGGTTACGATGATGGTGATGGTGACATGATGATGGTGATGGTTACGACGATGATGGTGATGGTGGCAACTGGTTTTGCTAGTGGTGGTGCGCGGCGCAGAATGAGAGCGCAGCCGCGAGGAGGCTCCTTCCCTCCCTCGCCTCTTCCATACTGCCCCTCCCCCCCCCCTCCACCCTCTCATCCTCCTCCTCCCCCCCCATCCCCCCCTTCCCCTCCTCCTCCTCCTCCTCCTCCTCCTCCTCCTCCTCCTCCTCCTCCTCCTCCTCCTGCGGGCACCGCACCAGAGCCCAGGCACAGCCCGCCCGCTGTCCCCTCCGTTTTGGCGGCGCGGCCTCCGACCGGCGATGTGGCTCGCCCTGGCTCCGGATCCGCCCTACTTTGGCTGTTTCCCCAACTGAAATCGGAGGTGGACAGACCTCCTACCTTGACACGTCGATTAAGGAATTGGCCGTTTTCGGTTCGCGAGAGGGCGTCGCGGCCGTCATTTTTGCGGGTCCAGGTCCGTCGATTTCGGCCCAAGGTCGTTTTCACTGAGGGGAGGTTTACGAAAGGGAGGTTTGTCCAACGCCGATTAAACTTGCGTCGGAAACCCGACATAAAGTAGGGCGGGAATCCACAAAAGGAGGGCGGAAGCAGCAGCAGAACAGTAAGGCGGAAATTGGCATCAGCGGGGCTCGAAAAGTGAGGCGGAAGTTCCAGGCCCTACTTACGAAATTGCCCAAAGTAGGGCGGATCTGGAGTCAGGGCGTGCGGCCCTGGTCCCCAGGCCGCCCCCCTGCTCGGTCCGCGTGCCCCGTCGCTGGCGTCCTTCGGGTCGGCCGCGCACCAGGACCGATCCCAGCTCCTCGGGCCCGTGCGCTGGCGCGCGGGCGCTTGCCGCGCTCCCTCCGCCGGCCCCGTTCACGAGGGCTGTCCCGAGCTGCTCGGCGCTTGCCGCGCTCCCTCCGCCGGCCCCGTTCACGAGGGCTGTCCCGAGCTGCCCGGCGTGCCGACGCCGTCGCAGCAGTCTCTTGTTCTGCTGTGTGTTCGGTTCCGCGTGCTGGCCCGACGGTGGCGGCGACGAAGGTTGCGACGGACGTCTCCAAGAACGTGACCGACGCACGTAACTACATCGCCGCCAAGAGCCTCGAGGTCAAGAAGTTCGCCGAAGCCGCCACCAAGCCGGCGGTGGAGGAGTTCACCAAGCTCACGGAGCGCATCAACAGCGCCGCGTCGAAGCTGTCCCAGTTCCGCAAGGAGACCGAAGGCCGGAAGAAGTCCGTGCAGCTCCAGGAGGCCGGGGACAAGGTTCGGGTCGGGTGAAGCGGGGGGTGGCGATGATTGGGAAAGGGGAACCGAGGGCAACGTTGCAGGACGGGATAGGCTAGGCTACGCATCATGTTGGCTCGGAGGCCTATCGCCGATCTATCTGCGATGTATCGCCGATTGTAGCTCGATGTTCTCCCCCTAAGCCAGTCCCCCCCCTAACGTCCCCCATCAGAGAGTGCGAAACCTGCTGCACGTAGCTGATTTCGGCTTCCCCGCCGACCGCTTCCCTCGATACACTGGCTCTCCAGCGCTGGGAGGCGACGGGGAAGCCAGCTCTGCTGCATGCAGCTGGCTTCGGCTCCGCAGCCAGGCGCTCTCCTCGATACGTTGGCTCCGCAGGAGGCGCCATGGAAGTCAGCTGCGTGAGCTGATTCGCAGGATCGAAGATCGAAGCGTGCTGGGATGATGAGGAGGACGAGGAGAAGGAGGAGGAGGAGGAGGCGGAGGAGGAGGAGGAGGACGAGGAGGTCGATGGGAGGAGGAGCAGGAGAAGGAGGAGGAGGAGGAGGAGGGCGAGGAAGAGGAGGAGGAGGAGGAGCAGGAGGAGGAGGAGGAGGAGGAGGCGAGGAGGAGGGGGAGGAGGAGGAGGCGAGGGAGCGGGAGGAAGAGGAGGAGGACGAGGAGGAGGACGAGGAGGAGGACGAGGAGGAGGAAGAATAAAAAGAGGAGGAAGAAGAGGAAGAAGAGGAACTCAGCGATGTGAGCCCTTTGCTGCCCCCCCTGCGCCCTGCGACAAGGTCGAGAAGGCCGACGAGGAGGTCAAGAAGCTCGCAGAGGCCATTGAGCCCCTATCCAAGGACCGGCGGCTGGAAGGCACCCCCACGTTGGCCCCGCGGAGGGCGGAAGGCATTGGCCTCGCAGAGGGTTCTGTCTGAGGCGTGGGTGGCGGGAGTCTGAGAAAATACGACTGAGGAGGAGAAGGAGGGGATGATGATGATAATGCTTATGATGAGCAGGGAGGATATGAGGAGGACAATGATTAGTAGGATGATGAGGAGGATGATGATGCTGATGATGCTGATGACGATGACGATGCTGCTGATGATGATGATGATGATGATGATGATGATGATGATGGTGATGGTGATGATGATGACATGAATGGTCATGATGATGGTGACAATGATGATGCTGATGATGATGATGAGGATGATGATGATGAGGATGCTGATGATTATGACGATGGTAATGAGGATGCTGATGATTATGGTGGTGATGGTGATGACGATGCTGGTCACGATGATGATGAAATTGATGATGATGAGGGGGAGGATGGTGGTGCTGATGATGATGCTGCTGCAGATGATGTTGATGATGCTTACGATGAGGATGATGCTGGTGATGATGACGACCATGATGATGCTGATGATGATGTTGATGATGGTGATGATGCCGATGATGATGATGGCGATGATGATGATGATGATGATGATGATGATGATGCTGACGATGATGATGATGATGATGATGATGATGATGATGATGATGATGATGATGATGATGATGATGCAGATGTACGGTAGGTTCGCGTCGTGTCGACCGGCGGCGACCCCGACGCCGGCGTTCAACGTTGAACGCCGGCGGAGGCCCAGAATCGGTCGACGTTGAACGATCGGACGTTGCTGAAACGGCCGATCGTTCAAGGTTGAACGATCCCCGCGGGGTCAGAAACCAACGCCGGGGTCGACACGACACGAACCTGCTGTAGATGCGGATGATGATGATGATGATGATCATGATGATCATGATGATGATGATGCTGATGATGGTGATGATGATGATGTAGAGGAACAGAGACGATCAAGAGGAGGATGAGGATGAGGAGGAGGAGTTGATGGTGTTGATGCCGATGGTGTTGATGGTGGTGCTGATGAGGATGATGATGATGATGATGACTGATGATGGCGTTGATTATGTTGATGGTGTTGATGATGATGATGGTGTTGATGATGTTGATGAGAATGATCATGGTGATGACGATGGCTGGTGATGTTGATGATGATGATGCTGATGGTGAGGAATATGGGGATGATGATGATGATGCGGATGCTGATGATGATGCTGATGCTGATATTGATGATGATGCGGATGATGATGCCGATGATGATGATGCTGATGATGTTGATGGTCGTGATGATGATGATGTGATGATGATGGTGCTGATGTTGATGATGTTGATGATGATGATGAGGATGATGGCAACGACGATGATGATGATGCTGATGATGATGATGATGATGATGATGATGATGATGATGATGATGATGATGATGATGATGCTGCTGTAGAGGAACAGAGGTGATCAAGAGGAGGATGAGGAGGAGCAGGAGGATGAGGAGGAGGGGGAAGGAGGAGGAGGAGGTGGTGGAGGAGGACAATGGGGAGGAGGAGGAAGAGGAGGAGGAAGAGGAGGAGGAGGAGGAGGAGGAGAGTGCTGTTGGTGATTATGCTGCCTCTGATGCTGATGGTGATGATGCTGCCGCTGCTGCTGCTGTTGCTGATGGTGATGATTATGCGGAGGACGCGGAGGCACGAGGGACGACGGAGGGCATGAGGGATAGGGGATGAGAAGGAGGGAGGGTGACAAACAAACGAGACTGGGAGATCGGGAGGAAGAGGAGGAGAATCATGATGCGGTTGCAAGAGGAGGGAGGTGGGTTTGGGCGGGGCGGGGAAGGATGCTTAGGAGGGAGAAGGGACAGGAACATATCGGCGAGGAAGGAGGATAAGGAGAAGGGGAAGAGGAGGAGTTGGAGGAGGAGGAGGTGAAGAGCAGAAGTAGTAAGCAGAAGTGACGGGGGAGGAGGAGGAGGAGGAGGAGGAGGAGGAGGAGGAGGAGACGGAGGAGGAGGAGGAGGAGGAGGAGGAGGAGGAGGAGGAGGAGGAGGAGGAGGAGGAGAGGAGGAGGAGGGGGGAGGAGGAGGGGGGAGGAGGAGGAGGAGGAGGAGAGAGGAGAAGGAGGAGGCGGAAAATAAGGAGTAGGGCAAGGCGGCGGAGGGAGGAGGATGCGGAGGAGCTGGAGGAGCGAGGAGGAAGAGGAGGAGGAGACGGGAAGGAGCGAGGGAGGGAGGGAGGGAGGGATGAGGCGGGGGAGGAGGATGAGAAGACGGAGGAGGAGGAGGAGGAGGAGGAGGAGGAGGAGGAGGAGGAGGAGCGAGGAGCGAGGAGCGAGGAGGAGGAGCGAGGAGGAGCGAGGAGGAAGGAGGGAGGGAGGAGACGGGAGGAGTGAGGAACAGCATAAGGAATACATTCAACAGGAACAGCAGCGGAACAGGAGGATTACGAGAATGAGCGGCATTAGGAGGAAGTGGAAGAGGATCTGGAAGTGGACGCGGAGGAACGGCAGTAGGTGCAGCAGGTGGAAGCGAGTGGGTGGAGGCGCAGGAGAGAGGAACGTGGGGAGCTGTGTGTTGCGCATCGGGGTGGCAATGGGGATGCTGGATGATGAAAAGTGAAAGAGGGAGGAGGGAGGAGGGGGAGGAGGAACGATGATGCATGATGCGGATGATGCTGATGCTGATGATGTTGATGCTGATGATGGTGATGCTGATGATTATGCTGCCGGTGGTGATGATGCTGGTAATGAGGGTGCTGTTGATGATGATGATGATGATGACGTTGATGATGATGATGATGATGATGATGATGATGATGATGATGATGATGATGATGATGATAATGATGATAATGCTGATGCTGAGGCTGATGATGGTGATGCTGATCATGAGGCTGATGATGATGATGCTGATGATGATGATGACTGGTGACGACTGATGACGATTGATGATTAGGATGGTGATGATGGTGATGATGGCGATGACGATGATGATAATGCTGCTGCTGATGATGACGCTGATGACGCTGATGACGCTGATGATGATGATGATGATGATGATGATGATGATGATGATGATGATGATGATGATGATGATGATGATGATGATGATGATGCGGTTGCTGCTGGTCATGAGGATGCTGCTTCTGATGATGATGACGATGAGGATGAGGATGATGATGATGAGGAGGAGGAGGAGGAAGAGGAGGAGGCGCAGGAGAAGGAGGAGGAAGAGGAGGAGGAGGGAGGAGGGAGGAGGAGGGGGAAGGAGGAGGAGGAAGAGGAGGAGGAGGAGGAGGAGGGAGGTGAGGAGGGAGGAGGACGGGGAGGAGAAGGAGGAAGAGGCGGAGGAGGACGAGGAGTGGGGAGGAGGAGAAGGTGGAGGAGAAGGAGTAGGAGGAGGATATACTTCCAGCCGCTCCGAGGAGGACGCCGACACGCTGTCTGGGGAGGCCGCCGAGGAGGCCCGCGCGTCAACCTTCTCCCAACTGGGCTCCTCCTCCTCCTCCTCCTCCTCCTCCCCCTCCTCCTCCTTCTCCTCCTCCTCCTCCTCTGGCGTGATGTCGTAATCGTCGCCTTGTCTCCTCCTCGCCTCCTCTTCCTCCTTCCCATGATCTTCCTCCTCATTGGATTGTTTCTCCTCTAGGCATCCGTCGCCTCATCATCATCCTGCTCCTCCTTTTCCTCCCGCTGTCCCTGTTGTCCCTGCATGTTTTCCCGTTCCTGCTGCCTCTGCCTCCCTCGTGGCTGTCTCTCTCAATCCTCCTGGTCCTTGGCCAATCCTCCTGGTCCTCTCTCTTCTCCTCCTCCTCCTCCTCCTCCTCCTCCTCCTCCTCCTCCTCCTCCTCCTCCCCCTCCTGCCTTGAACAGCTCATGCTCCTCATGCTCCTGCTGTTTCTGGATTACCGTCTCTGCCTCCATTTTTCTCGCCCTCCTCATCCTCCTCATCATCCCTCCTCTTCCTGACCTCTGCTTTCTCTTCTTCGCTCCCTCTCAGCCTCGTTTTCCTTCTCCCTCTCCTCCTTCTCCCACAACTCCTGGTATTCGTCTTCCTCCCTTTTTCTTCTTTTCTCTTCTCTTCTCTTCTCTTCTCTTCTCCTCCTCCTGCTCCCTCCTCGTCTCCCTCGGGCCCTTTCCTCCCTTACCCCCTTGCGCAGTAGTAGCCAATAGACAGATCTGATCGACCCTCGTCGTCTTGCTCTTCCTGCTGCTCTTCGTTTTCTTATATGAGGTACTACCTGAGGTGTCCACACGCTTCCTCCTCGCCCTCGCCCTCCCTCGCCCTCCTCCTGCTCATCCTCCTGCTTGGGGAGGCCTGCGCGAAGCTGGTCGCCGCGGTGAAGGCCGCGCAGAACAGCGCCGACAGCGCCCGGAACTTCCTGGCGGCCCGGCAGCGAGAAGCGAAGGAGACGGAGAAAGCGAGGGAGTACGGGGGAAGTTGATCACGGAGAAAGTTTAGCATAAGGGCGGAGCAGGCAGAAGGGATGGTGGAGCATGGGGATGGATGAATGGGGGGAGGGAGGGAGGGAGGGGTGATGATGATAATGGTGGTGGTGGTGATGATAGTGATGATGGCGACGAGAATGATGATTATGACGATGCTCATGATGATGGTGATGATGAACCTGATGCCGATTATGATGTTGAGGATGACGACGATGATGATGATGGCGATGGTTGTGATCGTGGCGATGATGATATGATAGTGATGATGATGGTAGTGGCGATGATGATGACGATGACCCAGGTGATGTGATGATGACGATGACGATGACGATAACGATGACGACGCTAATGATGATGATGATGATGATGATGATGATGATGATGATGATGGTCATGATGGTTATGATGGTGATGACGATGCTGATTGTGATGATGCCGATGGTGATGGCGAGATGATGATGGTGACGATGATGATCATGATATTGACGAGGACGATGATGATGATGATGATGATGATGTGATGACCATGATGTTGACGATGATGGCGATGATGATGATACTTCTACTACTACGTAATGATGACGAGCATTACCATGACGGCGACGATGATGATGATGCTGAGGATGAGGATTATTGTGATGATGATGATGCGCTGGTGATGGTGATGATGATGGTGAAGACGGTGATGCTAATGATGATGTCTATGACGGTGATGTTGAAAATGATGATGCTGATGACGATGATGATGATGATGACGATGACGACGATAATGATGTCTATGATGATGATGATGATGATGATGATGATGAAGATGATGATGAGAATGATGATGATGATGATGATGATGATGATGCTGATGATGATGATGATGATGACGTTGAGGAAGACGATGATGACGATCATGTTGATGATGGTTATGATAATGACGGTGATGACGATGATGACGATTGTGATTATGGTGTTGATGATGATGACGATGATGGTGATGATGATGTTGATGATGAGAATTATGATGATGCGTGTGGTAATGATGATTATGATGATGACGATGGTGATGATTATGTGTATGATGCTGGTGCTGATTATGATGCTGATGTTGGTGCTGATGCTGATACTGACGTTGATACTGCCGATGATGATGGTGGTTGTTGTGGTGGTGATGGCGGTGGTGCTGAGGACGATGACGATGATGATGAGGAGGAGGAGGAGGAGGAGGAAGAGAAGTGCACGTCCAAGACGTGTCAACGACGTTTCTATGCAGCCTCCCTTCAAGTTCCCTCTCTGCTCAGGTCTCGACGCATCGGTTTCATTGCGGGAAGTGCTCCGCTGGAAGACAGCCGTCTGATGATCCCCAGCCGTGCCAAAGCACCGTGGCTGCTTCGTCCTGGCCACCCGAGATCGCGCCAGGGCGCCATCCCTGCGGCTCCCGCACCCGGCGGCAGTCTCTGGGAGGCCGCCGCGCCGCGCCGCGGGCACGCTGTGGCGCCGCCCGGCGAGGCCTGCGGCCCCGCGCCCGCCGAGCCCGACCCCTCCCTGGGCCTGCGGCACACCGGGCGCGGAGAGCCCCGGCCCCCCGAGAGGATCCAGTAGTTAGGTCTGCTCCTCCTCCCCCCTCCCTCTCCTCCCCTTCCTCCTCCTCCTTCCCCTCCTCCTCCTCCTCCTCCCCCCCTCCTCCTCCTCCTCCTCCCCCTCCTCCTCCTCCTCCTCTCCTCCTTCCTCCTCGGGAGCCTCCTCTCCTCCTCCTCCTCCTCCTCCTCCTCCTCCTCCTCCTCCTCCGCCCCCGATGCCGTATTCGCATGTATGTGAGCGTTTGTGTCTGTGCGTGTGCTCGCGCCGCCTTCGGATTTGCCGTCGGCCATCTTTCCCTCGCCCTCCCTCCATGTGGCGTTGCCCTGCGTGGGAGCCTCCTCCTCGGCACACCGCACGGCGAAGCCCAACAGGCCAGCGCCCAAGGCAGCCGTCAAACCTGTGGCAACCAAGCTGCTGTGTGACCTCAGGGGCGATGAGGGTGCCAAGTGGTGTGCCAGGTGCAGATGGTACGACCGCAGATCGGAGTGCCCAGGGAGCATCGTCACGACGGTGCTGGAGATGAATTCCCAGTTGGACAAGAAGCATGTACTTGTGGAGCTGGCGCCTGTGAGAAGCTCCGAGCTTGTCAAGGACATGGCGGTGGTTGCATGCCTGGTGTGTGGCGCCTCAGCTGCAGCCAGGCCCTCCACGTTCAAGAAAGAGTGCGGCCACCCTGGCAGCAAAGGCAAGGCCGTGCTGTCGAGGCTGGAGAAGAGGTTGGCGCCCACGATCTCCGCGAAGGTCGTGGTCTCAATGAAGATGCTGGACGGAAGTTTGTCCTCCAGCGGTGCTGGCTCGCGCTGATGGTGATGGTCTGCACCCAGATGCGCGAGTACCTACTTGCATGGTCGGGGGCCTGGCCCAGTTGGGGGCCCCCGTGGTCGGGAGGTCGTCGCCTGCGGGCTCCAGTGGCCAGGGGCCCTTGCCAGGCAGCAGGGCCCCTGTCTCCTCGTCGGGAGCCTGGCTCCCGTGGCCAGGGGCCCTTGCCTGGCGGCAGGGCCCCTGTTCTCATCGTCGGGAGCCTGCCTTGAGCGGCTCCCGTGGCCAGGGGCCCTCGCCTGGCGGCAGGGCCCCTGTCGGCGCGCCCGCGACCGCGGGCGCTGGGGAGGCGGCCGTCAGCCCGCCCCCCTTGATGCGCGCGGATCCTCCTTCTCCTCCTCCTCGGGAGCCTCCCCCTCCGCCTCCGCCTCCTCCGCCTCCTCCTCCTCCGCCTCCGCTTCCTCCTCCTCCTCCTCCTCCTCCTCCTCCTCCTCCTCCTCTTTCTCCTCCTGCATCGCCTCCATCCTAAGGCTCGGCGGTCGGCAATGCCTGGCTCTCGCAGGCGCTTTCTGAATTCTGCACGTGTCCGCAAAGGTGGAGTGATGATCTTGGCAGTGCCCCTGGTCGGTTTGTCACCGCTGGCTTTATCCCACTTGCGCTTCGGAGGGAGGTGTGCGCATGCGTGCGCGCGTGTGCGTGTGCGTGTGCGTGTGCGTGTGCGTGTTCGTGTGCGTGTGCGTGTGCGTGTGTGCGTGTGTGCGTGTGTGCGTGTGTGCGTGTGTGTGTGTGTGTGTGTCTGTGCATGTGCGTATGTGTGTGTGTGTGTGTGTGTGTGTGTGTGTGTGTGTGTGTGTGTGTGTGTGTGTGTGTGCGTGCGTGCGTGCGTGCGTGCGTGCGTGCGTGCGTGCGTGCGTGCGTGCGTGCGTGTGCGTGTGCGTGCGCGTTCGTGCGTGCGTTCGTGCGTGCGCGTTCGTGCGTGCGTGCGTGCTTGCGTGCGTGCGTGCGCGTGTGTGTGTGTGTGTGTGTGTGTGTGTGTGTCCCTGTGTGTGTGTGGGTGGGTGGGTGTGTGGATGCACGTAAGTGCGTGCGTGCGTGCGTGCACGCGTGTGTGTGTGTGTGTGTGTGTGTGTGTGTGTGTGTGTATGTGTGTCTGCGTGTGCGTGTGCGTGTGCGTGTGTGGAAAAACGCAGGCCGCGTACCCTTTTGCGCAACCCCGCTCACCTCCACCTCTCCACCCTTCTCCCGGATCCGCATTCCCGCCCTGTCATTTTCCTCTGGAGGAGCCCAGCGCCAGGGAGACCGTTACGACTCTGCAGAAACAGCTCGCGGACGTGAGCAAGCGGCTGGCCGAGTCGAAAAAGCAGGCCTCTGCTCACGAGAGCAAGTTCGTCGTGAAGAGGGTGCTGTTCCAGGCCTCCTCGTCGTTGCCTTCTTCCTCCCCCGTCTTCCCCTAGACATCTGCCTCCTGCTCGCCCTCCTCCCCATCCCTCCTGATCTCTCCTCCCTCCTCGGTCTCTCTCTCTCTCTCTCTCTATCCTCACTCTTTTCCGTCTCCGCCTCATTCCTCTTTCCTGCCTTCTTTATCCGTAAGGGCTTCGCCCCCTGCCGCCGGCCCCCTCTCTATCATAATGGGATATAACAGAGTCGCGCCGGTGCGTCTCGGCGCTGCCTTGGCGCATCTGGGAACCGCATGCGGGAGCGGATAGGAGTCATCGGCGTTATCGAAGACGCCTACGGCGGATCACCGCCGCCCCCTGCCCCTTTGGAAGCGCCTCTGTGGCCGACAGCTGGGCCAGAGCTTGGCCAAGCTATCGGGCCAGTTGTTCCCCGAGTCGGTTTGGAAACACTTCGGGGAACGCATGGGGGAGCAAGAAGAGGAGGCGGGGGAGGATGAGGAAAAAAGAGGAGGAGGAGGCCTCTTGGGCGCCTCTTGGGGCACTCCTGGGGCCTCCTGGGAGGTCTTGGGGGGCCTTCGGGGCTTCTCGGAGGCATCTTTGGCCGTCTTAGGGTGTTCCTGGCTTGTCTGACGCCGTCGGAAGCCGTCTTGGGGGCCTGTCTGGATCGTCTTGGGGCCCTCCTGGGACATATCAGGGGCTCTTAGAAGCCATCTTGGGCGTCTTGGAGGCCTCTTGTGCCGTTTTGGGGCCCTCTGGGGGCCGTCTTGGGAGCCTTTTGGGCCGTCATGGGGCCATCTTGGATGCCTCTTGGGCGATCTTGGGGACCTCTTGCGCCGTCTTGAGCCGTCGAAATCCAGAGAAGAAGCAAATGCCAAAATCTTTAGCGGCCTTCGGCCCATCCCGCCACCGTGCTTGGGTTGTGGGTCTGAGGCCTCTTGTACATGTGTTTGGGTGTCTGGGGAGCCTCTCGGGGGCCTCTTGGAGGCGGTTTGGGCGCCTCTTGGGGGCCTCTTGGGGCTTCGTGGGGTATCTTTTAGGCTTCTTGGAGGCCTCTTGGGGGCGTCTTGAGCGCCTCTTGGTGCCTCGTGTAGGAGATCGTGACCTCGTGGGCGCGACTGCGGCTCGATTTACAAGGGATCGTGGCTTCATGTGGCGCAATTTGCCTGGGATCGTGGCCTTGGGGGCGCGAAGGTTGTGTAATTTATACAAAATCGTGGCCTTGGGGGCGCGAACGTGGTGTAACTTATAAGGGATCATAGCCTCGGGGGCGCGACTGTGGCGTAATTTGCGGGGGATCGTGGCCCCAGAGGCGAGAATGTGGAGCGATTCATAGGGGATCGTGGCCTCAGGAGCGTGAGCTTGGTGTATTTTACGAAGGGTCGTGGCTTCGGGGACGCGAGCGCAGCGTAATCTACTAAGGATCTGCGCCTCGGGGGCGCGAATGCGGTGTAATCTGCGAGGGATTATGTACATCACGCCCCCCAGAAATTCAGAGCAAACGATTCGGGCGTGGCAGTCTGGGTCCTTTTCGGCTCCCCCCCCTCGCGCGGACACTGACAATCTACAGTCGGAAGCAGAAATCAGTATTGTAACATTGGAAACTGGAACTGGTGCAGGGAGCAGCGAACCTAGTCCTCGCAGCCTGATGGCCCCGCAAGGGGGCCGGCGGATTTTCACCGGCTGCTATCAGCCCCTCTTCCGCCTGATCCTCCATTAATCCCCCTGCCTCTTCTCCTCCTCCTCCTCCTCCTCCTCCTCCGCCTTCTTCGTCTCTCTCTTTCTCTCTCTCTGTCTCTCGCCCTCTTTCTCTCTCTTCGCTCATTGCTCTCCTCCGTACTCTCCTCCCCCACTTCCTCTGCATCACCAGCATCAACATAAGCACCATCACCGTCTTCACTACCACCGTCATCATCACTACCAGTATAATCATCACTATCACTATCATCGTAATCGTCACCATCACCGCCACCATCATCATCATCATCATCATCATCATCATCATCATCATCATCATCATCATCATCATCATCATCATCATCATCATCATCATCATCATCATAATCATCATCACCATCATCATCATCGACATCATCATCATCATCATCATCATCATCATCATCATCATCATCATCACCGTCATCATCATCATCATCATCATCATCACCACCATCGACATCATTATCATCATCATCATCAGCATCAGCATCAGTATCGTCATCGTCGTCGTCGTCGTTGTCATCACCACCACCACCACCCGCCCTCCTCCTTCTCCCGCTGACATTTTGACTTCTTCCACTCCGAGTCCCGCTCCCCGCCTTCCGACTCTTTCTCCACCTCCTTGTCCTCCTCCTCTTACTCCCGCCTCCTCCCTCTTCCCGTATCCTCCCTCCTCTCCTCCCTCCACTCCTTCTCCTCTCCTCCTCCGCCTCCTCCTCCTCCTACTCCTCCTCCTCCTCCACTCCTTTTCCTTATTACTATTTTTTCCGTGTCGCACCCCGAGGCCAGTTTTTGGAGCTGGCCGGGCGTTTCGCCTGAGACGTTCTCACCATGTACGATTCTGAGGCTAAAAATTTGGCAACAGTTTCACAGATGGAGGGCGGGTCGTTTTCAAAATGTGGCTCTCGCCTGAGCGCCGCGCACATGCGTTTTAAACATTTGCAAGAGTTTCACGGATTGAGGGCGAGTAGTTTTCAAGATGTGGCTCTCGCCCCCTGTCCGGGGGCCAGTGGCGCGCGGTGTCCCGCCGGTGTCCCGCCGGTGTCCCGTCGGTGTCCCGATGATGATGATGATGATGATGATGATGATGATGATGATGATGATGATGATGATGATGACGATGACGATGACGATGTCGATGATGATGACGATGATGTTGATGATGGCCACGGTGGTGATGATGATGATGGTGTCCCCATGGTGATGACGATGTTGATGATGCTGATGTTGCTGATGATGATGATGATGATGATGATGGTGTCCCTATGATGATGATCTGGATGTTCCTGATGATGTTGCTGATGATGAGGTGGTGGTGATGAAGATGTTTATGATGATGAGGATGGTGAATGGTGTCCCGATGATGAAAATGATGATGATGATGATGATGATGATACGGTTGATGATGTTGCTGTTGATGATGCTGATGGTATCCTGATCATGATGTTGATAATGATGATGATGATGATGATGACGATGATGGTGTCCCGATGATGATGATGTTGATGATGATGATGATGAGGTGATGATGCTGATTTTGATTATGGTGGCCCGATGATGATGTTGGTGATGATGTTGATGGTGACGATGATGATGGTGTCCCGATGATGATGATGATGATGTGATGATGATGATGTTGCTGATGCTGATGACGATGGTGTCCTGATGATGATGACGATGTTGTTCATGATGATGATGAAATGGTAACGGTGGTGGTGGTGTTCCGATGATGATGATGGTGTCCCGATGATGATGCTGATGATGATGATGGTGACGATGATGGTGTCCCGTTTCTGATGATGATGGTGATGATGATGTTGCTCTTGATGATGATGATGGTGTCTCTCTCGATGATGATGATGATGTTGATGGTGCGGATGTTGCTGATGATGATGATGATGGTGCCCCCGATGATGATGATGATGTTGATGACCCTGATTATGCTAATGATGATGGAATGATGAGATGATTTCGGTGATGATGGTGATAACGATGATGGTGTTCCGATGATGGTGATGAGGTTGGTGATGATGCTGTTGATGACGATGGTGGTGATGATGATGATGATGTCCCGATGATGGTGATGTTGCGGGTGGTGATGATGACGATGATGGTGTCCCGATGATAATGATGATGTTGCTGATGAGGATGATGACGAAGTGATGCTGATTTTGATGATGGTGGTCCGATGATGATGTTGATTATGGTGATGATGGTGTCCCGATGATGAGGATGGTGGCGATGATGATGGATTCCAAGTGGTGATGATGTTGATGATGATATGTTTGCTGCTGATGACTGTGTCCAGATGATGCTGATGATGTTGATGATGTTGTTCATGACGATGCTGAGATGATGATGATGGTGGCTATTCCATGATGATGATGGTGCCCCGATGGACATGCTGTTGATGGTGATGATGGTAACGATGATGGTGTCTTGATGATGATGATGGTGATGATGATGTTGATGATGATGGTGAGGATGCGATGATGATGCTGGTGTCCCGATGGTGATGATGTTGATGACGTTGGTGACGATGATGTTGGTGATGATGACGATGATGATGATGACGTTGGCTGTGAGACCGATTGTGATACCGATAGTGAGATCGATCGTGATACCGAATGTGAGATGCATTGTGAGATCGATAGTGAGATCGATAGTGAGAGCGATTGTGATATCGATAGTCAGATCGATTGTCAGATCGATTCAATGAAATAGATCGAATGAGATCGCTTGTGAGATCGATCGTGTGAGATCGATTGAGCGAGACCGATAGTGAGATCGATCGTGAGATCGATAGTGACACCGATCGAATGAGACGTTGGTTCCTCCCCCTCCCCCCGAACCTCCCCGTCGCCCGGAGGGTGGTCGTATAGGTAAAACATCCGGATTGGGGGCGAGTGCTTTTCAAAATGTGGCTCTCGTCTTAGCGCCGCGCACATTCGTTCGAATAAATTGCAAGAGTTTCACTGATTGAGATCGAGCGGTTTCCATCATGCGGCTCTCGCCTTAGCGCCGCGCGCACTCGCCGGAAATATTTGCAAGAGCTTCACGGATTGAGGGCGAGTGGATTTCAAACTGTGGCCCTCGCCTTTGCGCCGCGCACATTCGCTTCAAACAAATTGCAAGATATTCGCGGATGGAGGGCGGCTCTTTTTCAAAATGTGGCTCTCGCCTCAGCACCGCGCACATCTGTTTTTACAGAAGACACATTGGCAAGCGTTTCACGGATTCCCATCATCAACGTACCAGAAGTGGTGTTTTGGAAAGGTTCAAGATTATGCGGATGCAGC